GAGTCCCTCAAGGTCTAACTTAGCCACTCTCTTCCATGGTGGCCCCTTTTCTCTGGTCCCAGCTCGTCCCTTCCACGCTCACTCGCGGACACAGCAGCCACCTGTGTGCCCACTGCTGAGCCGGCATTGCTTGCTGCACGCAGGCATATATGTATATCTGCCTTCCCGACTGCACACTTACAGGCATCCAGGTTCTGTGGTTTTAGAACATCCAATAAATAAAAGTCTTTTCTTCCCCTCCTACCTGTGCTCTTTTAGGATGTAGATACAGGTGTCAGGTGGAGGGAAAACATGTCTATTTTGTGACTGATTAGAGGGTGTGACATTTATGTGCAGAGAGTGGGCTTGGAACACTTCACCTTGGAATTAAACTAACCCATGAAAAGCATAGGAAGAGCTCGAAGTCTTCCAGCCAGCTCAGATGGGAATGCTTGCTTGCTTCTTCTGTGCAGGTTGGCACCCAAAGAGAAAGGGGCTGGGGTGAGGTGCCTGGGTTCACATTCTAAACTCTTCAATGGGCTAGCTGAAGAATTTGAAAGGACTGTTGAGAGGTGTTGAGAGTGTTACATCAGTAATACCTCTCCACTGGGACACACACACGCAGGGAGATCATTCTTATACCAGACTGTGGGTACATGGACAACCAGATACGGGGAGCTGAGCAAACAGAAAACCACAGAGGATGAGAAATAAAGTTCAAGTGAGAAAGCGAGTGAGAGTGAGGGGTCTGGACCCGGGGAGCTAAGAGTCTGCAGCAGTAGTTTCACCTGCATCAGAGGGTGAGTCTGGAGCCAAGAGTGGAGCAAACAGGCGACAAATAGGGTGGATAAAAGCCTGGAATAGGAAAAAATGGGGGAAATGTTGAGAAGAACATAAAGCTGCCAAAGTAAGTGTATTTAAGGAATATTGAATCAGTTTATTTATTTACTCCACAATCCAGAAAAGAATCTGTAACAGCCAGTGTTTGTACATTAATAGTCATTAGAATGTGTACTTTGAGAGAGAGTATAGAAATGTGGGTAAACAGCTGTCACAAAGTAACATAAAGCCAGATTTCTGTACTGGAAAGAGCGTAAGAGATAGTGTTCCAGTGTTATTAGGGGGCTCTGACTACCAGTCACAGGCTTCCTGGTGGGCACAGGTGGTTAAGAATCTGCCTGCGATGTGGGAGACCTGGTTTCAGTCTGAGTCGGGCTCAGAGCCCTCAGATGGACCACAGGATGGAATTTGAGCTCCACCCCCACTTGCCTTAAGTGAAGAATGTCACTCGTATCACAATAAGCCTTGAGGTTTAAGAGCCCTGGGGTTCACGATTTTTTTCGTGATTTGCCTTGACCCTTTATTTTTTAGTTTGAGGTGGTCCCAAGATCTCTTTGAAGAAGGGAGAGAGAAACAGCTAATTGTCATAATAGCTAGCATTTAGTGAACATTCACTGTGGGCCACACACTATGTCAAGGGCTTGGACTGTACCAATTCATTTAGTCCTCTTAGCAACCCTATGAGGTTATACACATTTAATATCTCTATTTTTATAGATGAGGAAACATGCAGAGAGGCCTAGCAGTTTGCCCAGAAGTGTAAGCTGCAAAACTGGAATGCAAATCCAGGTAGTCTGTACAACTAATGGTGCAAAAAGGAGAGTGGAATAGACTCAGCCCTGCCTTGGATCTTGCCTGTGTGAAAGGGGCAGAACTCTCATCTGACTAATTTTGAATTAAAATCCTGGCTTGGACGACTGCATTTAGCTGAGCCTTTGGGAAGAGTTGACTGCCTTAATCAAGCGGGCCAAGAATGTCTTTTGCTGCCAGAGCACAAGGTAGAATTTCTAGGCAAAGGCAGAGACATTTCCCTGTCTGACAGAGTATGTGTAGATTGTTCCAGAGATTTCTGGGTGGATGTATGGTCTCTGCTGAAGCACAGAGGGGCCTTTGGGCCAGAAACCAAGAGCTTCAGCACTACGATGTTGTTACTGAGTCCAAGCTCACTGCATGATAGGCCAGTTAACCGAGAGACAGGGTGTTGAGGCAAGGAATATCACTATATTCAGCCAGCAGACTAAGAAAATGGCAGACTAATGTCTCAAAATAACCATCTTATTGGGATCTGAATGCCAGGTTCTTTTATAGATCAGAGGGGAAGGTGAGGAAGTAAAGTAAAAAAGGCCATTAATCTTGCAGATATCTCCTGGAATGGCCTGCTCCAGGGATGGTCTGTGTTAATTTCTTCCTTCCTGTAGCCATCCACAGGTGGATGGGGCCCTGAAAAAAGGCATTTTGGTTTAGCCTTCAGGCAGAGGGGCAGGGTGTTATATGTGGACAGTATCCTTTTAATGAACAAAAGCAATGGGAAGCAGAGGTTAAAAGTATAAGGGACAGATCCAAGATGGAGTCAGTTCTTCCCTGTAACAGTATCATTCCACACAGATTTATTGAGCTCCGGCTACCTGCCGCATCTCGCCTTACTTTTCTTGGCATGTTACTCTGTGCAGATACCCATTACCATGTTCTCAGGCATCCTGTGCCTTTGTAGGGTCAGGTGGGCACTTGCATGGCTGCTCCTCCACCTTTCTTGCCTGGTCTCTAGCAGGCCAGACTGCTGGGCCCCCACTGGTACTCGGCCGTGTTTGTTCAATAACGCTTGGAAGCACAAGTGAGCTCTGTATTACTGCCCTTTCCACTGGGGTGGCTGGAGGGCCTCCAAGGGCCTAGTTGGAGCCCTACAGAGCCACAGGGACTGACCCAAAGCACCAGCCATCAGCTTTGTTCCTCAAGCCTCTGGAGAAAACCTTTGATTTCATGGGGATGATTATGTTTATTCTTGCCCACTCAAGGATGAAGCCCAAGAAACAAGAGGTTGCCCCTTTCAGAAGCATCACAATGGGTCACCTCCAGCCAATGTTTTTTGTTTTTTGTTATTTCTGGGTTTGGTTGATCCTCTCTTGGAAACCATTACTATACAACTTACTTAAAAGAAAGAGTGGAGGGATTGGGTATAAGAGACTCAGACAGAGGGGGGAGTAGGCGGGGGGTTTGGGACAGAGGGGCTGGAAGTAATGTATCATCACGGAAAGTACAGGAAGAACACAATCTGATTTAAATTGATTCCATTTTGTAGTGACATTTTTAATCTTTTGCGAAGTTTGACTTTTGGCCAAGCCTAGAGAATTGGAACTTTGGATGAAGGTTTCAGAAAAAGACACCACATACACACACACACACACACACACACACACACAGAAAGGGAGAGGGAGAGAAAGGGGAGGGAGACTTTTATCCTAAAGTCATTGTAAATCCAAAGCAGGGTTTTATCCTCCACAGTTAAATGAGAAAGGAAAAAAAAAAATCAAGAATACCAACATTTGAGGTACAAAGACTGTCATGGGCCAGTGGAAGTTTGCAAAATTATATGTAAATGACCGAAGTTTTTTACTGTGGTGGCCTGTGCTTTCCCAAAGCTAATCCCAAAGAGAAAATCTACTTAGCAAAAGAAAGTTTTGTCTAATTTGGTTAACAGTTGAGAAGTGACAAAAATGCTGAATCTATTAATAATTTATATTTCCAGGGTAACACTATATCTTCAGTGCTTCACTACCAAAGGGAATTCAGATTGGCTTAATGCTCAGAGAAAAAAGCCTGAAAGGCCTTCTTCATATTCTGTATCCAGCGCTGATAAAAACGGGTGTAAGACATGTGTTCCAATAATGGGCACCATGCATTCTCCCATTTCTGCATAATTTGTTTTCATCTCATATTGCCCATGTATATTTGTTATCCAAATGGCCTCCTGGTCTTACACTGACTTTCATAAGGGAAGAGATACTAGTTTGCATCTTACATTTTCTAGGTAAGCATTATACTGACATGTAGTGCAAGAACCCCTGACTTGAAAGACCTTTTCTAATGTTCATAGATTCTTCCTGCCCCCAAAACCTACGTATTTTAAGTGTCACTTTATGGACAACATAATGAAGTGGTTTTGTGTGTGTGTGTGTGTGTGTGTGTGTGTGTGTGTGTGTGTGTGTGTTGGTCCTCCTGTCTCTGTGTAATCAAGTTTGATGGTTTATAAATTGTGGTCATCCTATTCCATGACCTTAGTAAACAGTCTAGGTCAGAGCTCCCTTAAACCCTCTCCACAGAAATGGAATAAGTTAATGTACTCCAGCTAATCTGAGCTATGACAAATCATCCTTGTTCAGCCAAAATAGCCTCAGGAAACAGGAAAATCTGCTACATAATTCGAGTTATTTATTTACAGGGCATCACAAGGAATGGGCACAAAAAAGAAAAATCAATGGAGGAAAATTTTTAAATTCTCAAAAACACAACTTTAATGGATTGAATACCTTGTACACTTTGCCTGTTAACCTAAAACCACAGTGAGGCTCATTTTGCTCTTTGGGTCCTAGAAAAACCTAATTTCAGTTTGCTCTATTGTAAATGTACAGCTGTTTTGTGGGGAAGTCAGATCCCACTGTCAGTGGAAACTACAAGCCCCTTGAAGATCGCTAGCCAACTCTTTCCTAACCCCCAAACATTCCTATCTTCTGGGTGGAGCAAGAAAGTTTAAATCCTCCTCCCCCGGGAAAAGGCGGAGAAGCCTTTCTCACCAGGAACCCAGCATCTCAGTCCCGCCCCAGTGGCTGGGTGTAGGTGTTGGCAGAGCAAACAGCCCTTTAGGGGAGCGCGTCTCCCCGCCCGGTCTCTGCCGGCCTCTCACCAGATCGCCTAGCGCCCCGAAGCTGAGCTGATCTGTGCGTCAAAGACAACTTCAGCTTTCTGAGCCCTAAGGCGCTCAGGCAGTTGTCTGTCTTTCGAAGATGAACTTCATCGGATGTTGTTTTTAAGCCGCACTGGGAAGTCATCTCCTCTACATATTTTTAACCAGACCTAGTCGCTGCATCCCATGGGCCTGGGTTTCCCCGCGCTCCCCGTCAGCGGTCAGCAGGCAGCTGGTGCCTGCGCCCGGGGCCTTCTCCGGGGTTAGGGAAGGGCGTCCAGGTGGGAGCTGGCGAAAGTTTGCCACAGCCAGCTTGGGGAGGGTCCTTCAATTTGTATTTTTTGAGAGCCGTGGGCCCTGTGCCTCCCATCCGCCCTTCTCCCAGACAAATTCCCAAGGTGCGCGTGAGGAGGAGGCGGGTCTGGAGCCCTGGTGGAACCGCGAAGCCAGCCTGGAAGCGACCCCTCTACTTGGCCTCCCCGCCTCCTCCTTCCCCGCGCGGCGGCCCACCCCTTTCCCCACCCAAATAACTGAGGGTCGTCACCTCAGCCAGCATCAGCCTTGTGCCTGAGACCCCTCGGAGGGGATGGGTTTTAGAAGAGCAAAGGTAACAAGAAATCCGTCTCTCTGGGACTTTCAGAAAGCGTTTATTGCCAGGGGGAGGTCCTTCAGAAGACGAATTCGCTTTTGACCTTCCCCCACTTAGCTTTTTTTTTTTTCCCCAGCACAATATTTACACTTGTGCAATGTACAGTATTTCTCCCAAGCAGTGCCCAGAGCGCAGAGCAGTCTGCGGGATTTGTCGGCGTCAGAGCACCGGGGGGCGCTGGGGCGCGTGCAGGTTTAGGGCGCTGGGGTGCGTGTGGCCGATGAGGTTCAGGTAGTGGCGGTCCAGGCCCTGCCCGGGCGCCAGGAAGGCGTTGTGCTGCTGCGCGGGACTCGGGAGCGGCACGGGCGCGCTGGGCAGGTAGGGCAGCGCAGGGCTGCGGGCCGCGCCGTGCGGCCAGGCGAAGGGCCCCGGCGCCGCACCCTGCGGGAACACGGACGCCTCACCCGGGCTGTGGCCCGCCAATTCGGGCCCCGCTGGGTGCAACTGGTAAGAGAAATCCGGCTCCGGGAGCGACCCCAGCGGCTGGAAGGCGGGCTCGGTGCCCAAGCGGGCCTTGGACTGCAGGAAGGCGAGGATGCGCGCGTATTTGGTGTCCTTGGTCTCCATCCGCTCCACGGTGGTGAGGTAATGCACTAGGTTCTTCATGCACTCGTGGTAGCCGTAGTGGAAGTAGTTGGCAAACTCTGCTAGCAACTCTGCTGGAGGGGCAAGGAAAACGGAGAAAGGGAAAACTGAGTGGCCCCTTCCTGACCGGGAGCCTAAGGCAGATGCCAAGCCCCTCCCATCACGTTTTCTGGCCGGTTTCCCTTCGAGGCCCGCCCCTCTCTTTCCAGCCTGGAGACTGGAAAAAACGCACGCCAGCGACCTCCTTTTCCTTAGGAGTCTGACCTCATCCCTCCCCACCTGAGAGGAGGCCTCAGAACCTGCATCCCCAGACCCCTGTTCTCCAGTCCCCCTGAGCTTTCTCAGGACTCGGGGGGCCCTGCCCCCCGCAGCATCCAGAGAGGGGACCTTGAGAGACCACTTTATCCCCGCTGCCACCCCCAGGGCTCTGTGTGGCGCACACTCCCTGCCCACCTTTTTCCCTTCCCCGGGGAAAATCGGCGGAGTGCAGGGCTCTCAGGTACTGCACGGTCATCTCGAGGATCTCTGCCTTCTCCAGCTTCCCGGAACTCTGCAAAGGGACGAAAAGCCTCCTGGAAGCGGCCCAGACGGTGCGGGCTAATCGGGGTAGGCTGGGTGCACCATTTTAACCCGAGGGGACCATCGAGCCGAGCCGGGGCTCTGCTGTGGATCTGCGCCAGGGCCGCCTGGGGCTCAACTCAGCGCTCAGGGCCCCGGGTAGGAACCCCGCACCTACGGCCCTCTCCGGCTCCAGACTCCCGGCATCAGAGGATCCCCAGCGCCAGCACCGTTTTCTCAGCTGCCAACATTACCTGCTTTGCCAGGGCCATGGGCACCGTCTTGCCCAGCTCGTTCAAACAGCGGTTAATCCGGTCTCTCCTCCGCTTTTCTATCACTTTGTGGGAAACGGGGGTTCTCTGAGAACAGAGGTTTGTTTGTCCGTTTAGGATGTCTTTGCCCAGAGAATCATCAAAGGCACGGCTGGCACAGCCGTCTGCCAGCCCTCAGTGCTGCCCAGGGGGGTCGCCCCAGGCCCCTGTCCCCCCACACTGGGTCACACGAGCTCTGTCCTCTCACACCTCTGTTGATGCACTCCACTTCTAACCTCTGCGGGGTCACAGCGCCTTGCTGAGCACCAGGGCCATGGGGAGGTAGCCACCAGCTTCCAGATGTGGCCTCCACCCCGACTGCGGAGGCCCCTCTAGCTATCCTCATTCCCTTCCCAAACCACTCAGGATTCCTCTCCAGGAGAAGTCCTGTGTGACCATGTCCCGGCTCGTCGGTCCAGCCAGGTGGTGGCTCTGGGAGTCAGACACCCCCACCCTGAAGGCGCAAGAGCCATTTGGACTCAGCTGACTCACTTTGCGTTCCTTGAGCTTGTCTGACATTCTGATCAATACGCGCCCTCAGGAGAGGTGGTGGCACGAGGCACCCGTCTGCTTTCCCCCTCGTGTGCCTCCTCGAGTGTCCCAGGTAGACTGTAGCCTCCCAACTACGAGGGTCTGCCTTATAAGCGGTCATCTAGGGCTCCAAGTGCATTCACGACTTGAATTATTCCATAGGATTAGGGGAGCTGCGTTTGGGGGATGCATGCATTCAAGATCAGTTTGTTTTTTTTTTTAAAGTTAAGAAAAAAAAATTTAGCAGCCGAGGGGGGCGAGTTGGGGGCAGATCAGCTTTGTTAATCCACGTGGCCCTTCAAAGGACACGTGACCAGCGGGGGGAATAACATTTGCATGGCAACAGCCCGGGTGGGAAAGAGGCGGTAAACCGGCGCCGGCGGGTGAGCGAGCGCAGGAGCGCAGCGGCTGTGGGCACCGGGGGGCGAGGACCGTCACAAAACAGTGTCGCCTGCTTTAGTCCCGCCGCTGAGTCTCACACGATTGCCTGTTTACAAATCCCAGCAAGCCCGCAGTCCCAGCGCCGAGTGCGTTTTAAAGCCTGTCCAGAGTCATTAAAGTAATTAAGTAAGCCTTTAATAGGCTGTTCCGCCGGGTTCAAGGGAGAGCTCTTGGAGACGGAGGCGCCCCGTTTGTTCCCAGGCTTTTCTCACACGACTTGGTGACACGTCCATCTCCCCCCTTTTTGTTTACCCCGCTTTATTTGTCCGGACATCCCGGCAGGTGTGGGGCTGCCGCTGGCACACGAGGCCCTCGCCTCGCCTCGCCCCTCCCGCCGGTCTTTGGCACGCGACGCTCCCCCCACTGCCTGACCACATCGCTGCCTTTCTTTTCTCCTGCCTCTGGCTCTCTCCTCGCGGGGGGAAGAGGCTCAATTTGTAGCCTATTATCCTATACGGAAAATGTCCATTGAAAAGTATGAATAGTTTCATTGGGCTAAATTTTAATAATGCCGGAGGGTGGGGGAGGAAAGACAGGCAGGCGTGTGTGTGTGTGTCTGTGTGTGCATGTGTATGTGCGTGTGTGTGTGTGTGTGAGGGGGGTGGTGGGAGGATTGGGGGCAACACGGGGAAGAGTGGGCTGAGAAGAAAAGGGGGAATGCAGCTGGCCCCGGCGATCATTATGCGACGTCACCTGCGAGAGGGGGCGCCTACAGACCCCTATTCATTTGCCTAATTTTGGTCAATTTAACAAACTTCAGGAGAAATTATTGTGGCTTTGTCAGGGAGGGTGAAGCCTTCTGATCGAATTAACAGCATGTTTTGATCCGGTAAATGTCATTAGAAAGGGAGAAACAATCGCGCTTAGAGGGCTCTAAGTAATGCGCCCAAGTGGAGACGCCAAAGCGCACGGCTCACAAAGGGAGCAAGTCGCTGCCACAGGGAACTTTTGTACCCGCCCATCGCCCAAGTTTTGACACAAAAAGGCATTATTTCATACTTGAATACGTTTAATCCAACGATTGTCTATTTTCTGCAAACATATTTTCACAGCATTGTTAACTTTTTATGTCCCCCTTTCGCGGGCGCCTTTTCTTAACGTTTGGGGGCGGGAGAGCGCAGACACTTTGGGCATCAATATTTGTCACTGAAAAGGGTTCCGTGAAGTTAGGGAAGTTGATCTCTTTTTTATGTTTTTAGAGAGCGAATATATCGGGGGAGGAGGAGGGAGGGAAGGCACAGACTGAAACGAGGGAGGAAACTTGCTGGACGGGCCCGTGGGGAAGAAGGGGGGTGGCGGTGGCTGGGAACTCGCTCCGCCTGCGCCTCTGCGGGCAGCCGGGCCCAGCAGCCGGGGGCCTCCTCCCCCGCCGCCAGGCCCCGCTCACACGGGCTGCCTAGGAACCCACCCGCACTCTGGGGGCTCCCGGCTTGAGGGAGTGGGTGGGGTGGGGGGGTGAGCTTTCTTGCAGATGGGAACTATAAAAATGGTTTTTGTTTTATGACCTGCTCTAGAGCCACCGAGCTCTCCCTTTTTTTTCTAACCTGTTCCAGCTGAGAACAACTGAGACCTCTCCTGACACATCTTTCCCTCCCTTTCTGCTCCCCACCTTTCTGCCTAAGTTCTCTCTAGACTGTGGCAGGGCCCGGCTCTCCCTTTGGGTGTCATTAGTCCTCAGCAGAGGTGGCTGGGGGGTGAGCAGAGCCCTGCTCTCCTGTGGCACCTGGGGAGCCCCTAGGGCGCAGAGGCTGGTCTGGGGAGCTGCGCCTCCAGGAAGCCAGCAGCCCACTGCTGCAGCCTGGAAGGTGTGGGGCTGGGTTTGCACGGAGCACCCCAAGGGTGTCCCTCTCCATCTTGCTTTCAGTCTCCTCGTGACATTTCTTTTCTGCTTCATGACAGATTGGACACGACCCGCACCCTCCCGCAGGTTGCTCTGCCGGTAGCCAGTGCCCTCGCAGGGGTTGTCGATTTCAGTATATTCACTGGCACACAAAGGGATTAAACACGAACCCTTATCATCCAAATTAACTAACGTGAATGGGTAAAAGGCAGCGCGCACACGTCTCACCCCCACCCCCTTTTTAAGCCAGCAGACTAGGAGTTGATCCTCTTACTGCTGGTGTTAACCGCCAGCTGCAGGCACCTTCCACGGGCCAAATTTCATTCTGTACAAACTGTTTAATTCCCTGCTTGGAAGCCAGGGTCCAGAGCTTGCCAAGGGCTGCAGGTCCCCTTGTCTGGGTTCAGGGGCCCAAGTGAAGGTGGGTAGGTGAGTGGAAGTGGGGTGGAAAAGTGGCCCTCCTTACCAGGTCCTTGTGGCTGCAGTCCTTTCTGGGAGACTGGGAAGTCCTCCTTTCATTCAAGTGAGGGAAAGGATATGTTTTATTTGTAGGCTTTACTAACCCTGCCAGAAGCAGCGTGCTGGGACCATCGTAGTCACCTTCCCTTTACTCCTCCTCCCCAGGATGGTGATAAAGTAAGTGTCCCCTGATGATGACATAGTTTCCCCTTAAAATGAGAGCAGAATAATGAGAGCTATGGTCCCTGGAGCCAAAGAGTTACTCAGATTCCAGCTCCACCACCTATAACCCTAACCTGGATGAGACTTTGGGCTATTCACTGAATCTTGCCATGCCTCAGTTTCCTCTCTGGTGAATTGGAGATAGTTACTGTATCTACTAGGTCACAAGGTGGTCACTGGGATAAAGGATGTAAATATAGGCAAGATGCCTAAAAGAAGGCTTCCTTACTCAATTCATACTTTTACTTTGCCTCGAAATCACTTCTGCAGTGGTTCTCACATAGCGGTGTTTTGTGGGGTTTGTGCTGTTGTGTGATATTTTCGTTCATTTCATAGTGTTTCTCATCGCTAAGAAAGCTTCACTTTCCCCGTAAAAGCCCCAGTAATTTTACCTGAGGTTTGCTAAGTCGACCAAAATTAGACAAATGATGAGGGGCTTTAGATGCCCCCCTCGCAGGTGACATCTGCTAGTGCTTGGTGGCCAGCTTTGTGTCCCAGGGATGTGAGGCTGAAAGAGGCTCCCAGTGCAGAAGCCCCTCAACTCAACAGCATGGTCATTTCAAGCGAATTAAACATTAGCATCAAAATCAAAGCAAAGCTAGGAAGTAAGACTGCTAAGAAATTCAGTTCAGTTCAGTTCAGTTGCTCAGTCGTGTCCGACTCTTCGCGACCCCATGAATCACAGCACACCAGGCCTCCCTGTCTATCACCAACTCCCGAGTCTACCCAAACCCATGCCCATCGAGTTGGTGATGCCATCCAGCCATCTCATCCTCTGTCGTCCCCTTCTCCTCCCAGTATCAGGGTCTTTTCCAATGAGTCAGCTCTTCGCATGAGGTGGCCAAAGTACTGGAGTTTCAGCTTTAGCATCAGTCCTTCCAATGAACACCCAGGACTGATCTCCTTTAGGATGGACTGGTTGGATCTTCTGGCAGTCCAAGAGACTCTCAAGAGTCTTCTCCAACACCAATTAGACGATGCTAATTCTATATTAGTCTGTGCTTAGACTCCTGGCCTGAAGACCTTCATTGGAGAATACAGCAATTATAAATAGAAAATGTTTATTATTGTTAATATTATTGTTATTAGCTATATAGATTTGACATGTAGCTTCCAAACACTGAAAAATGGACCCTTTTATGTTTCTTTCCAGCTCTAGAAACTGCAGATTTGCAAGCTTGGAAAGGGGCAGGGTTACTGAATGGAAAGGAAAAAAAAAAATCTAGTGGATGTTTGGAAATGTCAGCTGAATTGCTCTAAGACTGTTCTGGGTGATTTCAAATCTCTCCCTCCCATCTTAATCCACAGATTTGTAGATTCATTAGTGGGACTGGGGGCTTTATCAAGTAGGGAAATGTGAGGAGTCTTGTCAGAGAGTGGAGAAAACACAACAGCAGCTGACTCTCCTGTACTTTTTAAAAAATTTATTTATTTTAATTAGAGGATGATTACAATATTGTGTTGGTTTTTACCATACATCAGTATGAATCAGCCATAGGGATATGTGTGTACCCGCCACCCTGAACCTCCCTCCCACCCCCCTCCCCAAGCTATCAGAGCACTGGCTTTGGTGCCTGCGTCATATGTCAAGCTCACCCTGGCTATCTATTTCACATATGGTAATATGTATGTTTCAATGCTATTCTCTCAAATCATTCCACCCTCTCCTTCCCCCACTGAATCCGAAAGTCTGTTCTTTATGCTTGTGTCTCCTTGGCTACCCTGTAGGATTGTCAGTACCATCTTTCTCCATTCTGTTTATATGCATTAATATACGGTATCTGTCTTTCTCTTTCTGACTTACATCACTCTGTATGATAGACTCAGGTCCATCGCCTCTTTAGAACTGGCTCAAATACATTCCTTTTTACAGCCGAGTAATATTCCACTGTGTATATGTACCACAACTTCCTTATCCATTCCTCTGCCAGTGGGCATCGAGCTTGCTTCCATGTCCTAGCTCTTGTAAATAGTGCTGCAATGAACATTGGGGTACATGTGTCTTTTTCAGTTCCGGTTTCCTTGGGGTACATGCCCAGTAGCAGGATTGCTGGGTCCTATGGTGGTTTTATTCCTAGTTTTTACAGGAATCTCTGTACTGTTCTTCAGTATCTCCTGCACTTCCGAAGTCTCAGGAGGACAAGGCCTGAAGGACAAACCCACCTTGGGCTCTATTTCTGAAGTGAGTAGGCTTTCAGAATGTGGGACTGCAGGCTGTTCTCCAAAAGAAACCCAGAAAAGCATCAAGTCCCACACCCATGTTCCCAGCGAGGAACCTGAGGTGCCCCAAGGGGCCCTGGG